GGTTCCTCTTAAAGCTTCATGTTCTCACTGAAGGTATATATGCTAATCTTAATCTTACTTCTGTCTGGTATAAATGTTTAGTTTTTGTGATCCTAAACCAATCTCCACCTTGTTCATACTACTCTTTTTTCTTCATTGACTCTTTTATTTTACGTTGTGATATCATTTTTAAGACACTTTTTATTTTTAAGGTTTTTATTAATTGTTTTTGTGTGTGATGAATATTACATAATGAATATAATAAATAATTCAATAATTAAGTATTACATAATAAATATATAAATTTGGAATTTTACATGCATAGTCTTTAATTTGATTGGTGTATAGTCAAAGTCAAACAATAAAAATTGTACACAATTTTCCCCTTGTTGCCATATTTTAAATTTGAACAAATAGATAGGGAATAATCAGATTTTCTTGACATATCACTCCTATTACACCGAGCATTTCATTGGCTAGAACTAGTGACGAGTTTATATGACGTCATTATTAGATGAAGTGAGAATCGTAAATTCTACCTGACGTCTGTCATAATATTGGAATCAAAAAAGAATAAGAAAAATTTTTAGGTTAAGATTATAGAGGCGCAAAATTTCGGGCCAATGCTTTTTAAATGCATTAATTTTTTCGAATCCTGAGAAAACTAATAAGTATTTTTGAGAAATTTTAACACAGAATGAAGGACTACATTATTACCGAGGGCCGAAATCCCCTGAAAACTTCTATAATGTTTATTTTAAAAAGTTACAGTGGTGAAAAAAAGAAAGATAAAATTTAGTGTGATTTTTAATTACAAATATCTCATTCAAAAGAAACTTTTTGTTGATTCTAAGGGACTTTCGGCCATCGTTAATAATCTTTCGTTCTATTTTCAAATTTTTGAAAAATATTTATTAGTTTTTTCAGAATTCGAAAAAAATGAATGCATTTAAAAAACATTGGCCTGAAATTTTATGATACACTGATATTTCTATGGATCTAAAATAATCTTTTTATTGTGGAGCTTAAATATGTGAAAATATTATTTTCAAATTATATTTTAGACATTTATTTCTTAAGCAGTTTTTCTCCTAGTTTGTGGTGTGTTCTTAAGTTGACAATGTGTGAACATAAAAACAGTAATATTGAAACTATGGAAGCAAAATGAAATGCTGCATTATGATCTCTTCTCCCTTTTTTTGATTAATATTACATAAACATATGTTTTACAACTATGCTTAGAAATGAAATTCACAGTTATGTTTTATATGTATATTTACAAAATATTACAAACAACATGATGACAATACAAATATATATTACAGTACATGTATTTTGCATTACATATATGGCATATACTCTACACATTGAACAAAATTTATTATAGGAATATCTATGGGCAAGTAGAATGTGAATAAAACCTTTTAGATTTTTTTACTTATCTGTTTTTTCAAGTAATGTTTCTACTAAATGTTTTAAGTTATTATATCATATTTATTTCCAAACTACATACAGCGAGCCTAATACTTTTGATTCTTCTTTCATTCTGAAAGTAATATCTAGAAAAGAATATTCTTAAAGGTATTTTTTCATATATTTATTTACCCTGTCAGATAATTAACAAGATCTTCTGTTTTCCAAGATTTTGCATTTATAACTTATTTATTTATTTGTCAACGAGCAGTTGCCCAATTTAAATGCAATTTTGCAATATTATAATACTAAAATATAAAATTTTTAAACCCCAATTTATTACATGTCATGAAATTTAAAACTAACAAAGACAATATTTAAAACCAACAAAAGAAAGAAACAATACAAAATAAAAACCAGGTCACAATTTAAAATTGATTAAACTAAATTACACAGCTAGTAGCATCAAAGAATCAAGTGCAAGATATTAATTGCACTTTAAAATACTTTGCTTTTCAAAGCAATCTAACCTGTCTGTATACTGATTTGCAAACCTAGCAGACCTAGATAGATAAGAATTATATCCGTAGTTTGTTCAATGGTTGAACAAATTCTAAGTTTTTACTTCATTGTACTTAAGTTTTTTATAACTATGGTATACAGCCAACCACTGGGATTTTCACTTTTATATTTTAATAAAATTATTGGAAATAAAAATACTTATTTTTACTGATCAAAATTAAAGTCTTCATCAGTGTCACTGTTTTCGCCGTCTTCATTAAAATTAATAACCACAGGTGCAATGTCATCAATATCAAAACGTACCTCTCTTTCCCAAGAGTCATAAATGATTTTGTCCACATGTTGAATAGTGTTTGACCATATTTCAGGAGTAATAGTTAATAATGCTTCTTTCCACATAGCCAAACAGTCATTTTTTGTTGTTACGTCCCTACCTATGTAGATTATAATAATTTTTTGATATTCCCCAAATATGTTCAATGGGATTAAACATACAGTGATATGGAGGAAGACGTAGAACTCTATGACCAATATGTTCAGCCAACTGATCAACTTTATAAATTTTTGGCGGTTTATTTAAATTTACAATATTCAACATTTCTGCTTTTAAAAGTTTTTCATCGAATGGTAGTTTTTGTTCCATAAGCCACTGCTGAATCTTGGGCTTGAATTTGGTTTGAAACCAGTGTAAAAAATTTTCTTCGTTCTTCTCACCATGGTAGTCTGAAGTCGCATCTTTTGAACTGAATATTAATTCAGCATCATGAATAAATCCATTTACATTACCAGCATGAAGAATAATAGATATATCTTTTACCATCAACTTTGGTTGTTTTCAAACTTTTTTTATCATTATCTTGCCAAGAATGTCTTGATTCAGTCATTTTGGAAAATTAAAGTTTCGTCTAAAAACACAAACTGATAAATATCTTCCTCTCTTAGTTGTTTATATGCCTTTAAGTATTGAATTCTTTTACAAACAATATCGGGAAGTTCTAGAAGGCCCCGGCTTGGATTGTCTTTCTGCCACTTAAATCCAATTTTATGCAGTACTCTCCGTAAAGATGATTCACTACCTTCAAATAGATCTCCATCTTGTAAAACTGCATGAAGAGTTTTAACAGTTATATGTTGCTCTAAAAGAAAATTTAATCTATAGTCTATAATATAATTGACAACAAAGTCTTACATGTGTCAATAAAATATTAAAATATACTTACTTTTTTCATACATTTCGTAAATTACATTTCGAATTAGAGGTGCATTATTGCAATTAGTTATCGGTTTTACAGGTCTCGGTCTTTCCTTAGGTGGAGAACATAAAGGTGTATTCTCTTTTGCGGATTGAGAAACTTTGCTGACAGTAGAAATACTCAACTTAAACGCTGATGCAACTCTCTAAAACAGTATTTTTAGTATACATAATTGTATTATCTGTTCTAAATAAAATACTTTCTAAATATATTTAAATAATAAGACCTACATACCTCTATAATTGCTTCTTGTGGTAATAATAGACCACCGTTTTTCTTCTCCCTTTCAAAATATTCAATTAAATTTGCAATTAATTGCTTGCAATGACTGGTCAAATGCGACGGCATTTTTGTTTTAACACAATTAAGTTAAAATATCCAAAAAATTGAATCGAAATCAAATCGAGAAACTAAAGTAACAGAATTTGTTTTGTAGACAGTTTATAGGTTTATATTTTAACCAACTTCACAACTATAAACAAATCTTACATAACCTTCTATAGGACAACATGGGTTTGACACTTACAGTACATATAGTTATCTTTGTTTCACACTCTTAAATGACAAAGAGAAACAATGTAGCCGGTAGTTGCTGTGGTAAATACATATATGTTTTTTATTTGGCAACAGCGCTTTCCTGCAAAACTTAACGGTAGCGAAAAAACTTATGAGGAAAAAATTGTTGAATTTGTTTGCCGTCAAGTTTGTACCATTGAGTTATGACGTCATTAAATCTATGACGTGCACCGCTAATTGTTTGCCTTTGAGTTTAGTGAACCTTCGGATGTTGGTGACCATCATGGCAATCTGTATTTTGCAAACTGCTGTTCTGAAAAGATTTGTGATTGTAGTGTTAAACCACGTACGCTGGTTTTTCAGCCAGGAGAGCCTTCGCCTTCCTGGTTCTCGTTTTTCTTCTACTTTTTCTTGTAGAATTAATTGCAGCAACCCATATCTTTCATTGTTCCTCATGGTGTGACCGAGGTATTCGATTTTGACTGTTTTTATTGTGGTTATCAACTCTTTTCCATTTTGAATTCTTAATAAAACGTCCTGGTTAGTACTCGATCTAGTTCAGATCTTCCTCAGTGCCTTCTTTTGTAATTGAAGCTAACACTAAAATAGTATCTGTGACATCAATATATTTTATGTTTGACATGTTTGACGTTGAGGTGACGTTGTACTGTACACATAATAGTGTAAAAAATGATATAGAAAGTAGTATATACTAAAAGATTAAGCTGAAATCCCATGAAATTGAAGTTAAAAATTGATTGGGTAATGGTGGTTGCCTAATGACGGTAGCAGACCTGGTGTGTAGGGTAGGGTGGGGTACATTGGTACGTGGGGCACCATGGGACAATTCGAATTTACCGCCTTAATACAATCGAATATTTCCAATATTTTAGTTATAGGCGCGCTGTCAGTCAATAAGAAGCCATCATAGCTCTTGTATGAGTAGAAGTGCATATAAACATTTTGTGGCCAGCTGAAAATTTTAGGCGTCAAAAGCAAGTTTTTTAACATTTCATCATATGGTAATTTAACCTTCAAAACAAAGAGTGTTGCTATTCGTGATTAAATGTAATAATCTAAGATGTTTATAGGCTAACTGCCATATTTAGTCACAAGGTTAGAGTGCATTGTAAACTGGCGACGTAATTTTTTCGACGCCAGGGTCGGTTGGGGCAGATTGGACCAAATAGACGGGAGCAGATTGGTACAGTGTACCAAACTGCCCCACGTGTGGTATATTGTACCAATCTGTTCTATTTATTAAGTTAAAACTCTAGTAAAAATGTTGGTACAGGTTTTGTTTTTTTTTTTTTACAGATGGTAAGAAACTACAAACGAAAAACAAATCGTGCAGATATAAATGCTGGAGATATAAAGAAAGCCGTATGGGATGAAATTAAAAATAAAACAGCAATTAGAAATGCCGCTTTAACGTTCAACATATCTAATACCACTCTTTATAGACATGTGAAAAAATTAAGGTCTCAAACACAACATTTTCAAATTGATGATTCAGCAAATGAATCACTTAGTGAAGGCGATTCCCCACATATGCCAAAATATGTACAGAAAAGAACAGAATGTACATAACACTTTAGTACTCGTTTTCTAAGATTTGGGCTGAGGTTCTAAAACATAATAATTGTTTCATATTATTAAATACACTCCTTCAAGGCTCTTTTACAAGGGCAATATCAAACGTCCTCTCAGGCGCTACAAAGGCTGTTAAGGTCTCCTGGCAGTGTCAAAGGTTAACCTGAACTACCTTTAGGTATATCTTTCTTGGCTTGCAAATCTCTGAAGGTTACCCTACCAAGTCTATAGTAAGCTTTGTAGTTTTTATCCTTCCGATCTCTGCAGGATTCTTCATCTATAGAAAAGGTCAGGAGCTCTTCTCTATTTCCTCTATTTTCTTGCACTTAACACAAACAAAATAGTTTTGTGACCTAAGCATCTGATTCAGATGTTACAGGCGCATCCTAATTTTCTGTGTATCTATGTATTTTTGTTCAGGGATGAAAATCCTAGTACTTTAATGGTCTCCCTAAGCCAGTTTTTACGACTTCATTGGCGCAGGTCAATGATGACACTTGCTGCCGAAGGGACACCATACAGTACTTCCAGCAGTTGGCTTTGTACCAAGTGTGTGTCTGTTCTTGGCTTAATGTGTAATCGGGATGGCGTCTGTGTATCACTGCCATTCTGATGTGCCTCGCCGCTTCGTTGTAGCTCACCCCTTCTGAGATATCAGATTAAAAAAAAGAAAAGTATTAACAAAATATACGAAGAAGGTTGCGTTTCGATATTAACAAAATAAAGAGATAAATTTAAAAAGGACCAAGTTCGATTATACATTTATGACAAAAGATAAAAGAGATAAAAGATTACCCAAACATTATATTTTTATTTATAGTCACCTATATACTTGACTTAATTTTTCTATAAACTTCTATAAACTTTTCTATAATTTTTCTAAAGTTTCTATAAACATTTAAATTGCAATTCAACCCAGACTACAAGACTTATAAAGTTTTTATGTCAGATGATTGACGAAATACTTATTTATGAATAAAAAAACAGAAGGAAATTGTCATCACAACATTATTAGTATAAGTACATTCATACAGTATGTTTATATTTTATAAATATATTTATATTTACATATTCATATGTCTACTTAGCGTAAACAAGTTTTAAAAATGATTTGATTTAAAATAAAAATCTATAATATAAGTATTTTAAGTCACTAAAAAATTGTTTAAAATCCTTTATAAAAGGTATATAAAAAATGCCCCAAACGGGCTATCACAAACACATTGCAAAACGTTTTCGGATTGATAAATCCATCATCAGTGCAAACCTGAAAGTATATAACCACTTTAATTAAAAAGAACGTTAAATTAAAATGTTCACAAAGGTTAGAGCAAAATGTGGTTAATATTTACGGTTGTACATGCTAGTAGCCACCAAAATATATGGGTCAAAACCCTTTAAATGTTTTAAATTTGTAGTTGTTTTACATTATTAATAGTTATAATTTGTGATGTTTAAGTTACCGTTGGATAGGTAACATGGCGGCGTATGACTCTACATAAGTAAAATGGTCCTGAGACGAAGTGTCTACGAGGACATGTTGATAACAACTGATCAAAATGACATTGTTGACATGTTAGGACGGATGTTGTGTCAGAGCAGTCAGTGTAACTTACGGTAGTTGTCTAAAAATGACAGATGTCAGCCTTATTTAAAATTGAAAAAAGTTAAAATTATAATAATGTAACAGTATCAACCATCAATATTGTAATCTGTATTGTAAATTAATCAAATGGCTATATTTGAAACATTGAAAATTGGTTTTTTAAAAATTAATGTGGGTCAACTGGAATTTATGAAATTTTGTAGGATTGATAGGCAACCAACAATACATGTGTAAGGATCTATTTATTTTAAGCTAAAGATTTTGTCAAAAGGCCCTGTATGTTGTGAGACATTTGGTACATAGAAAATGGTAAAAAGGCACATGTGGGAAGATGGGTCCTAAAAGATTTATTATTGAGTATTGATGTAGTAGGTGGAGGTGTGTTTAGATATGTTGTTGAGCTGAAATGTAAATATGATAAGAATGTGATTGTAATGTGGTGTTCGTGTAGTACTCAACTTAAAACTTAAGTATGGAAGGCACTCTATGTCAAAAAACCACATTTGATACCTAGTAAAGATAAATAAAATTTTTTTTAAGTTATAAGTACATGAACATGAATTGCTGGTTTTGTGTGTAAAGTAAAGATGGTAGGTTGTTTATGTGTGTGGGCAAGTATGCCAGACTAACAGAAAATTGATGGCTGAAAGATGGTTAGGTGTGATATTGTTCCTACAGTGCTCAAGTCATAACTCAAGAAAACAAAAGGCACTATATGTTAAAAGGAACATTTGGTGCCTAAGAAATATAAAAGTAAAAAGGGATGAGTTATAGGTTAGAGTGTAGGTAGGTGTAAAGTTAATAGGCTTATGGAGTGTATTGTGACAATATGTGAAACTGTAAGAGTAGTTGTGTTTAAGGTGGATCTATCAAGTTTACTAAATATGTGTGATGTTTAAATGTTATTGTGAAGATGAAGGGGAAAACTATAAAATACTGAAGACCCCAGAGACCCGAAAACCAAACCCTGAGAGAAATTGGATGAGTAAAAAGAAGTTGTAAATGAAAATGAAAAACGCAGTATGAAAAGGTAAAGATATGTGGTTGAGTGGGTGATGGTGTATATTAATGAAAAATTGTTTTTGGAGAGGAAGTGGAATGAATTTATTTTGTTGAGAAGAAGCATGGAGAATATTGGGTATTAGGTCAGATTTGACGTTTGGATGCCTAGACAGAAGTAAGGAAAGAAGGGAAGTTGGATATATTGAACAAAGTTTGAGAGGGCTAAGGATGATTAGTAGGTGATAAGAGAAGGATGAGAATTTAAATACTAATGAAGAAGTAAAGTTTGAAAATGAGTTATGGGAATAATTGACGGTGGAGCGGAAGAAAGTCTCGTTTGAATGAAACATGGCGATTGACACAATTTGGACTTCTCTGTTTTTCTTTAATGATTTCTAGGTCTTCATATAGGTCTAGTTTCAGAAAGTTTTTTTGTGGGATGTTGTGAATAAGTGAGACGTCTTCTGGGATATTGAGAGTGTGGTTGTGTTCTTTAAGATGTCGACAGAAAGTGGAAGTATTTTCTCTTTTTGTGTGCTCTAAAGAGCGTGAAGACAATGATCTACATGTTCTTCCTATGTAGGTAGCATCACAATCAGAACATTTTAATCTATACACACCAATACGGTTCATATAGTTGATGGGGTCTTTGGAATTGGATATATACTGACCCAAGTTATTAGGTACTTTAAATGAAACATAAATATTTTCAACCGAACGTTTGATTAGATTTCTAATATCTCCAGAAAGACTCTCATGTTGATAAGGGAGTGAAATATAATTGGGTTTGATGGTAGGATCCCTGGGGAACGCAGTCTCCTGCAAGTTCCTACGACGTTTTCTATAAATGAGTTTATTGATAATGTTATGATCATAACCGTTGTTGACTGCTATTTGTCTGAAAATATTTAGTTCTTTTGTGTAGTTTGAATGAGAAAGTGGAATGGTTTCCAGGCGATGGATGTAACTGTGAAAAGCAGCATATTTATGAGACATGGGGTGGTTGGATGAGAAGGGTATTACGTGCTCAGTCTGTGTAGGTTTCCTAAAGATACTGAAGTCGAAGTGGTCATTTAATCTGGTAATGGTGAGATCAAGAAAATTAATTGACTTGGAAGATTCTAGTTCCATGGTGAACTTGATATTGGGGTGAATTTAATTAATTTTAGAAAGTAATAGTTCAGCTGAATTGGAGTTACCTGAAATAAAGACTAAACAGTCATCAACATAACGAAACCAATGGAGTATTTCAGGATTTGTCATAATCTGTGTGGATTTTAAATGATCCATAAATACATCAGCTAATAGGGGGGAGAGACAGCTACCCATGGCTAAGCCATCAGGTTGTCTATAATATTTGTTGTTAAAAACAAAAAAGTCTTGGTCTAAGCAAAGTTGTAATAATTGGATAAGGGAGTTCGTAGTAGACTGGGTGATGGAATTGTTTCTCAGAAGAGAGTGAACCAGATTAATTGTTTCTTGTTTGGGGACAGAGGTAAATAGATTGCTGACATCAAATGATAGCATAGTAATGTTGGGGTGAAGATTGATCTGTTGTAAGTTGTTGACTAGATGACTAGTATTTTTGACTGAGAATCGAGGGGTAAAGTTTGTCAAGTTGCTGATAAGATTCAATATGAATTTTGATAAGATGGAAACTGGAGTGTTTGTGAAACTAACAACTGGACGAATAGGAATGCCCTCCTTGTGTGTCTTAGGTAAACCATACAGTCTGGGTGTTAAAGGGTTACTTGGAAATTTGTAATACGGTGCGAAATATTCGGAGAAGAAATCTGTGAAATGTTTGATGTTATCTTTTAATTTAATTATAAACTGTTTTGAGGGATCTGTTGTGAGTAGAGTAAAGTTATTATTATTAAGGAAAGTAGAAACTTTATCATTGTATAAAGGTTGATCTAAGATCACTAGACAGTTACCTTTGTCAGCTTTACTGATGATTAGGTTGTTTGATTTGATTTTAGTTTTGATTGATCTGAGGGTTTTTAAATGTTCATTGCGTTTATTATGAGAAAATTTGGGAAATTTAGATGTTAAATGGCTATTATGATCATCATCATCATCATTAGCCATTTTGCGTCCACTGCTGAACATAGGCCTCCCGTAAATAATTCCATTGCATCCGATCTTGAGCAACTTGAATCCAGTTAGACTGGATGCGCTTTAAATCGTCCGACCACCTTGTTGGAGGAAGTTGGAGTATTGTGATGGGTGGAAGGAAAGTTGATAGATGAAGGGGTGTTGGTATTAAAGACTGTTGAAGAGTTAGATAAAGAATTTTTATTTTTAATTTGTTAATAGTATTAAAACAGGAGTTTCTAATTGAAGTTTTCTGATTTAAAGGAATAGAGAGGTTTTGAATGATGATGTC